TCTTAATAACTGGTGCCTTACATTCCTTATTTCTCTTCATTCCAGATAATATATGTTTCGTTTTACTTTTCTAAAAAAGTTCACTCATTCATGAACAATTTAGGCGACAAAAAATGCATAACATGGAAGGATGTCAGCCTACCAATAACGGAGGAACATACTTCTTTTGCATTTGTTGAGTGGAGTAAGCACAAGTTCGTTGGTTCCAAAAACGTTCCACATGTTCCAGAACTAAATCTTCCGGAGGCTGCGGCTGTCGTGAAAAATCAACACCACACGATGCACATTGCACAATGCCTACACGTTGGTCCAGTAGAAAAACCACACTGAACGGTTCGTCATTATGATAGGGTCGTGTGAAACGCCGTAAACTCGGAAGTGCCATACGATTCATCTTAAGGAAACTTCCAGCAATATTTTTTAAAAAAAATTCGAAATAACAACAAACTTGAAACGAATTTTTCGGATAAATCAGATCAGATTTGCATTTAAATATAAGTACCAATTCTTCGTGCGTTAATGGATAAGCGTCTTCAACTTCTTCATAATTACCATCCTCATATAGGGTGACACCTGATGCAGCAGATACGTAGGAACCTAATCGAGCATGCTTCATGGCTACAAAGGTATCCTCCGGTTCCAACGAACTTCTTTCGCTTCTAAAATGTACTTAATCTGTAAAAATCTAAAAATTCAAAGAAATACTGATTTTCTGATAAATAATGGACCATGACAGTTAGCAAGATATATGAAGCATTCATTTATATAATCACAACTCACAACTTCCTAACAAAAGCGTTTACAGAAGTTAGTTGTTATATCAGTCCATTCAATCCAACTAACAGTTAGATTATTCATTATTCAAGTTACAAGTATAAAAGGTTGCTTAATGAGTTTTCAACTTTCTGGAAGATGTATCTTACCTCACAGTCTTTCAGTATAATCTCAATCAAAAAATAGTGGAAAAAGTAAAAAATTGAAAATCTAGCATGGAAATGAAATTCCTCGTTTAGCAAAGTCAACCAGGAAAAGTACAACAAACTTACAACCGCTTCATCTTTTCACGTTTCCTTTCAGCAATCAAGCTTGGTTCCTTACGCTGGTACACGGCAGTATTGCGCTTCGAATTACCATGTGGTATAGCCTCAACCACAGTGTTTACACCAATATCATAAGAGATTATTGCGTATCTAAATTATTTTAAATTTGATGAAAATAAGTACACAGTTATATTCCAATGACTTTCTATTTTCAGGCTTTAGTTCCAAGTTTCAAAATGATTTCATTTTCCATTCCCTTTCTTCAAGTCCAAGCAAGAAATCTCAAGAGCAGGAATATGAGTAATAGAAACTGCCATAGTTCAAGCTTCCTCCCTCCCTTCTCCCTTATCCCCTCTTAAGTTTCTTCACTTCAGACAAGCTTCAATATATTTTGTAATTTGAAACTTGAATTTTATTTGAAATCTAATTTCGCAGCAAATGGAATCTGAAGGTTAAGAACCGAAATGTGACAGATACTGCATTAACCAGTAGTAAAACAAGGTTAGATATTAAACACAAACCTGGCATATCCTTCAGCAGTACAGGCTTGCCATATAATTTTTCGAACCATTCCATCAGGTATACTATTTGGATGAACGTAAGTTTTCCGCACAACTGTAAAATAATGACCCCCTTCAAGGCAACGTTGTCTGTCACGAGAAAAGTAAAACTTCCGAAGGGTCATACGTCGGCCATGTGTAGTATTCCACTGCCCTGAAATGTTTGGAAACTTGAAAAGAATTTTGACATTTGGGAATTTTTAAAGCATCCTTATCTAAATACAAGTAATGGGAGGAAAATGATTAAACGAAAAGTATCAACATACCTAAATTATCAACGCTAAGATCACTTATTGCTACTTTTTCCGTATCAATCAGAAATGTCATCTGCAGTGGATAAACAGTCGGTTCACGTAATACTGCTATATGTGGAACTGTATCGCACACCGGGAGATCAATTCTGGAAAAAGTGATGGCCAAGGAACTATTTTGATTAAACTTCAAGGATTTGTAAATTCAGTAATTTTGGTTCACTGCTACTTGTTTCTTTAATGAGGAAAAAAATGACACTAAATTACCGTTATTCAAGTGTGGTAGTAATTTATAACTGAATAATTATTTGAAACAGTTGAAAAGGAATACTATTCATCTTATGGACTACCAAAAAAAAAAGCAAATTACTGGTCTGGCTCGAGCAAAGTATCCAACGGTAAATCATTAACGTTATTGATAAACTGCTTCAGGAATACGGGACTTTTCGTCACTCGAGCGATTTCGAGGTTTATTTCGCTTAACAAAAATATGACAGTTCTCTGTTCTAAGCAAAATTTAAATCTCGAGAAAAAAATGAAGAAAAAATTATGTGATTTTTTTCCCAACCAAACGCCCCGGATGTCATTTATTACTTAGTGCTTTTAATTCAACCATTGTTAAAGCATGGTCATCGATTTACATAGATTAATTTAACATGAAAGAAAATACCTTACTTTTGGTCATATATTGTTTCATCAGCAAGAATAGATGTTCGCTGAATTCGTTGTTCCGACGCCACCTGCTGTTGGATTCGTTTAATCGTAACAACGGCATCACGTTCAATTTTATATGTCACTAGCATGTATCTGTAAAGATATTTCGTCTAACCTAAAATTATCAGGAAAAGTTGCGTTATATAAAAGTTATTTGATTTTTTTTTCAGGCATAGTAAATTTCAAGTCAAGATTGCATGTCGAAAAACTCGCTGCAGTATTTACTGTCGCAATTGGTTATAATGGGACAAATCAGTGAAATACAGCTGAGTAACATAGGATAGCCTTTGATGAAAAAAACAAAAACAAAAGAAAAACAATTTTCCAACTTGATTTTTCCTTTAAAAATATGTAGTTCAGAAAGAACATAACCAAGTAAATCGATTAAAAAGATAAATGAAATAATCCCAGAAAGAAAATAAAGTAAATAAACAGAAAAATAAGTTTCAAAGGTAACGGAAGTTAAAGATTAACAGCAAATACAACTTCCATTTACCTGTTATAAGTGCCATCAGCCTCTTTGATAAGCCAAACAACTTTTCGCACAGCACTGGGTGGTACCGAATACGGATGCACATATTTCTTCTTGATGACGCAATAGGCATATCCTTTAGTGCCACATCTGCTATCATTTGTGTCATAACAGTATTTACTCAGAGTTACGCGGTTACCACGTGATGTGTTCCATGCACCTAAAATTAACAAGACAATGCTTATTTTCTGCCTTTTCAGTAAATTAACTTGTTTTCTTTCCAGTTTGCCTATTTTTTTATTAGTATTCAAACAATTTCCGGCTGGTGTAATATATTCAAATAGCTTCCGGCTGGTCTCCATTTACTCAGTTATCTCCTCAGAACAAATGGCATTATTCGCCTAATCGTCTGCATCATCATAAATGAGTGCGTTATCATAAACGATAAAAATTATCAACGAAAACGGACCCAACCCATCCCAATTCCATTCCACGTATGGAATCTGCGAAGTATCGACAATGAATGACATCTGTACACCTTGACTAATCAAACGAATCTGAGGCACTGCAGTGTTTACTGGTGCAATATCATGTGTTCTGCAATGAATATCATAATCTGTATTTATTTATGCTTCTGCCTTTTCAAATGTCACTTTTTTCATTCTGATTTTTTTGGCTCTCTTGCGAAAAGTAAACATATCTGTCGCACATCAACACAACATCTCCTTACGTTTAAAATGCAAAATATGGTTTAAAAAAGGTGAAAAACTAACATTTCTGGTCTTCGAAGCAAAGTAAGCGGTAATTCGGTTATAGCATTGATATATGTACAGTTAAATGGTATACTTGTTGTAACTAAACTTATTCTGTGGACCATTTCGCTAAAACCAATATTTTAAGATATAGCAAATTTCGGCAAGAATTTAGAGGAATTAGAAAGAACAGAGTTATTTTTGTCTTAGGTACACTTCGTGCCATTCTGGATTGTGGCCAAATTAATTTACATATTTTTCGACCTTCCAGGTTATGGTTAAACTACTTCCGTAAAACCCAACTCAATCAACTGGAAATTTTGCACAGAAAATAATGGAAAGTATTGCATCACAGGGAAATATTCTGAATAGTCTGCTAATATAATAAAAATCTACAAAAACAAGTAGGTTAATAAAAAATTATGATATACCTATCGGATATGAGAGCATCCTGAATAACGGGACTGCAAACTTCCTGTGGACTGTTACCGTCAACGTCTACCTCGGAGTTCTCCGAAACATCATCTGCTTCCACATCCACCTCAACCAAATATAGTATACATTCAGTGAAAGATAATTTTAATATTAATTGTCACAAAATCATTTCATCAATCATTATCCTGTCCAGTTCCAGAAAGTAACAGTTAGAAATTCAAAAAACTTAACCCTGTCTAACGTTTTAAGCACTTACCTCATTACCCACCTCAAAATCCGGTTCCTGTAACACAACATTTTCCGGGGTATTCGCGGTATCTGTAAGAATTGCACCTTCCTGTTTGATGTTGCATGGACGCTTCTTTACTTCACTTGGACATGTCCGAATATAGCTTTTTTGATTAGTGCGCGAATTACCATGAGGTATTTGCATAACGTGAGCATCTGCTTCAATATAGTATGAAACCAACGAGTAACTAAAAATACAGACAAACATTGTAGTTATACTTCGACACTAAACTAAACAAAACTTGATGCACATCATTTTTCAAATAATATGCAAAGAAAAACTGAATTATAAACGTGAAGACAGAAAAATTAATTCGATGTCCAGAAAGTATCGATTTGGTAGGCTATTTTAATTGAACTGATATTTCAATTATGAAGTTCGGTTGCTAATCATTTTTAAGTTTTGCATTAATTTATGCATTACAATTTAATGGACAAGTAGTACTCACCGGCAATATTCATCACCTTTTTTGATTAACCAAATCACTTTCCGTATCGAATTATTCGGTATACAGTGAGGATGCAGGTAACGTCGCCGAACCACGCAATATTCCTGCTCTACTCCGCCTGGTTTACTTTTTGCTCGGTAGTAGAATTTACGAACACTCATCCGACGTCCATCTTTAGCATTCCATTGACCTGGAAAAAAGAAATTCGGATTCTTTCGAAATTATGTCAGAACTCATATATTATTATCGAACAATATTGCTCTTTCGTGCTAGTAAAAATCATGTGGAATTATATCAAATGTAAAACTGATAATTTTTGGCTTGAAAGTTAAAAATGAATTCCCATTTCATTATTTGATAATTTGAAAGCAATTACCAAGGTTGTCTGCACTGATATCTGACACAGGGAAACATTTTGTATCAATTAAAAAACTGAGACAAGCTGCTGCTCCGTAAAGGTTGATTTTAGGGACATATGTGCATACAGGTATCGATGCATCCAACCTAAAAGGGTATTTGCATATAATAAATTGGAACGCAACTCGGGATGGATTATACGTTGCTTATGGAATTCCAATCTGCCGTTAGTGGAAATACGCGAGAGTTTTATAAGAAAAACATGAAAACCATTTTCATTTCAAAAACTATGAAAAGAAGGAGACAGATTTAGCACTCACTCATCCTCTTGTATCAATAATTCCAATGGTGCATCTGCTAGTGTCCCAACAAATTTCTGCACGAATACCGGTGCGTCGGTGATCATGCAGAGACCTCTGAAAACAAGCAAACCGTTGTTACCAATAATGTCCATTCTTAATACAAGGTACATATTAAATAAAGGCATAATATATGCTTTATATAATTACTAAGAAATTTCAATGATTTTCGAACAGAAAGGAAGAATTCAAAATCTGATAAATCAGAAAAGCAGAAAGCATCGAATCTCAATCAGCAAACGCCTCATTTTTCCGAGCAACACGAAAGAGATATCCACAATAATGTGGATGCTGATAACAGATAGGAAATACGAACTCTGCATCTAGTTCTGGAATTTCCTCCATTTGTCGTTTTAGACTTTCCGTTCCTCCCGCAAAGTAAAACTCAATATCGTCGCTCTCCTCTTCACCTTCACATATCAGCTCATCCGTAGTCTACAAAATCCGATACAATATTTCCCCAAATAATCGGACTATATGCTACGTAAGATGTTCATAAAAAATGTGATTACGAAAAATCTTAAGCAAAAAATAAAAGAGATACAAAAAGAAAAGATTTCTAGAAATCCATTATACACATACAGTGGCGCTTTGGTTAGTGGTATGCACAGATATACCATTAGCTCTTTGTACGCTGGAGGATTCATCGCCTGTACTTTCTGCTTCGTCAATTTTATCGTGATCCAGTACGAAAGCACGGCTATCTAGTACCGCATCATTGGTGATATTGTAAGAAATTAATGCGTACCTTTAATTAGACAAAAAAGTTGTATTGCTAATCTATGCGCAATTTCCTGCCATTGCTCTTAACATAACAGTAAAGGACGAAATGCACTGTGACACCTAGAAAGTTTTCCAAGATATGCTGAAAACTGGACAGTACTGAAACGCTACTCTTCCTCCACCTCCAAAATTCTAATTGAACTCTTTGTAAACTGGTTAAGATCAAAAGTTTAAATTACTAATTACTTAACTAGGGGTTAAACTAACAAATATTATACCGGCTACCATTAGAGTCTTCTACTAAAATATTCAATTTATGCAAATGCAATAAAAGTTGTTTGATTCCGAAAGTAACATTAACAGGAATGTTGCAATGCAGCTAGCACACGACCTTTGGAAAAATCGGCAGAGAAAAGAAACAGTGTATGCAAAACCAAATGGACATTACCTACAAAATTCATTCCCTTTCATCACTTGCCAAATCACTTTTCGGACAGAATTTGAAGGTACAGTATGTGGATGGATCAAAACCTTCCGCAGAATGGTATATTCATGCTTTCCCTGAACACATTTTGCTTTGTCCTTGTTGAAGAAAAATTTAGAAACCAATCCACGCGAGCTCCAACCATCTTCAATTTTGATGCATTTGATTTTGCATGGGAATTCCCTCCTCGGGAAATAAAGATTAGAACTAAGGAAAAAAGTAGAATTTTCAACAACTAAAAATTTTATGCGAATAGCATTTTTTTTTCTTCACAGATGAGCTATATACCATCAAAATATATGTAGGAGGTTACAAAAATAATGAATTTGGAAAAATTCGGATTTATAAATCGAAAATGCATGAACAAACCAAAAATACAAAAAAAGCATAGGGTATACCTAGTCCATCATAAATGAGATCTGTGATATCAAAAGTTGTTAAATCTACGATGAATGAGAAGGATGCTGAATGACCCGTAAGTCGTACTATTGGTGGTCTATCGCAAGCACTCATACCCAATCTGAAAAACCGAAACTTAAGCGCTTAAAAGTAGAAAAGAAAGAAATTTAGCAAGAGAAATGTTGTTCATAAATAGAAATTCATTAGAAAATTAATTGAACGGTTAATCAAACAAACCAAATTTTTCAGACAAACAAAAAAATAACATTATACACTGAATGATACTTACGGTCCATTACGCATTAATATAGCAAGTGGAACATCAGCAATAGTATTGATAAACTTTGCACGGAACACGGGACCATCGGTCATTTCAGCGATATTATTGTTCTGTTCACTGAAGGAAGGAAAATATATGTGTGAAATTCTCATCAAACACTTCCTTGTTTTTCGATCAGAGATACAAAGCAACGATAAATAGACAAATTTTTCAGACAAGTAAAAAAAAACATTATATGCTGGGTGATAGTTTCGTGACTGATTATTTCTTTCGTTACGTTCTTCGGCACTGAACCTCTGAAATGTGCTTTTTCATTATGGCAATCAACCAAAATTCTTCATGAAAAAAGAAAATATTTCAAATCTCAACAATTTTGATGTATGGAATATGTCTGTCCAAATCGATAGGAATGTTCGACCAATAAGTCACTTTGTGGTGATACAGTCGCACTTCATTAATGCCTCAATTTTCTGAGTAAGATTACAAACTTTAGCTAGTAAAAAAAAAAAACTATTTCGACCAAATTTCCTGCCGATATAGCCTTCCTGAACTAGTTAGTCTGGGTTTAACAGGACACTTCGGTCTCGATATTATTTGACCAATGTTATCCCACATTAACATTATATCATTAGAATGGATTTCAACCATTCAAAACATGAAATCCAAAAGGCTTTCTTATTCTTCTAAATGACGAGCTACTACTGCTTCGAACTTACCGCTCAATGTGAGGAGCAAAGCATGGCTTTTTCTCAACTGATGAGACGTTTAACGTCCTACAATCAGGTGGACCAGGTGAATAACGTCTTGGTGGTATAATCCTGAAAGTAGTCAGTAAAAATTTTGCATATATATAGCCATAAATATGCACTGTCCAGCTGCTCAGATTCATTTCAAAAGATATCTCGAAATAAGCCTGGTATTTTCATATATCTTTCAGTATTGTTTATGCATTAGGGCTACCTTGAAAAATTTTACTCATATCAGAAGCAAATTGATGCCTGGGAGGCTGGAACTCTTGGAACTCTTGGAAATATTTCGAATCGTCAAAAGCATTATACATTACAAGCATTAAAAAAGACGGAGTGTCAATTCATCCTTCTTAGCTAACCTTCGTGTAAAGGTTGCAGGCAGAGGGTCTGTTCGCTCATCATTACCGCGTTTGGTAGTAATCAACCGACGACTACTCCGTCGGAGCGAATCTTCGCGTTGTCGTCTTGCTGGATAAATTACCGGTTCTGAACGACTTGCAACAACATATTCATTCTCTTCTGGATCATCATATGAATTGCTTACGATGAATTCTCCTTCAATTTCATTTTCAATCGTTGTACGCTGTGCCACTGTTCCTAGTTTTACTGCAAAAAAATTCCCCTTTTCTAAAATTCCAAGCATTTATAAACAACTCAAGCTTTTTTCTAGCGGACTATTTGACAGGAAAGGATTCTAAATTTCCTGCTAAATTTCCATATTCCAGTATATTTGCTGACCGTAACATGCGCGTGTAACTTGGCAATGTTTACATTATCTGCGAAACAAAATCACGCTTTTCGGAGTCTTTATTTATTCAAAATGAAGGACTTCCACGCAACTCAACGATTTTGAAAAACTAGTTTTACATACTTTAAAATCCAAATAACGATTACAAAGTAGTTTGCAAAAAGAGTTGACTGTAGTAGGGTAATTTATGGATAAATTTTTTAAACTTCCAGGGCGAACATCATTATTCAGTTACAGACTTATGTAAACGGCCAGCAAATGACTTTAAAACCCTACTCCAGCAATGCGAAGCAATATTTGTAAATGGTATATGAAAGTGTTTACTAACAACTCTACATAGCTTTACTAATTACCGATAAAGGGCTTAAAAATCATAGGGAAAGACATTACGTTGTATAGATGAATTTCAATTTCTTAAATCAAAATAAACTAATATCCAAGGCGTTCCCGAAGCTTCCGCTGATATCAAAATTAGTCCCATCATTCTATGAATTACAGATTAAATTGAAAAGTGATATTGCTGTCATCAAGTAATAAACCGGATGTTAAAGAATCTCTAACGTGGGCACATAACGTGACGACCACCATCAACTGGAATTGATGTTCCAGTGATAAATGATGATGCACTGCTCGCCAGAAATGCAATTGCATTTGCTACTTCATCTGGGTTACCCACACGACCAAGTGCATGGGTACTTGTGGAATGTTTGATAAAAGCTTCATAAGCTGTTTCATCCATACCACTACGTCTGTGAAGATCAGTTCTCGTGACACCGGGACTGAAACTAAGTCTTCTAATTTAAACTCGAAATAAGAAAAATTCGTATAAGCTGGTTTCAGAGTTTTGCATAAACAAAATACAACTAACAGTAAAACGAGAATATTTACTTGACTGAATTGACACGTACGCCTTTTGATGCTAATTCAAGCGCAATGCAGCGTGTAAACTGATCGACGCCAGCTTTCGATATATTGTATGCTAACACACCAGGAAACTGAAACAAGAAGGCAGTGACACGTAACGTAGTAATACAGAATTTGAAAAAATTTCAATTATAATAAAAACCAAAATTTTGGTCTCGGCAGTATCTTTTTTTCTTATTTTCCTTTAATTTTCTAATACATCAATATCTCTAAACTACATAATTCTAAACCAGTGATCTATGTCGAAATTGTTCCAAAAATTACCATGGAAAATGATGTTGCATACAGTAATATTAAAACCTTCAGCTTTTCAGAATAATAAAGACTTCTATTTAAAATGGATTCCCAGTCTGTGCACCCAGTATCTGGCACTCTGTTGAACGAAATACGAATATTAATCTAGAGAAATGTTTAGGAAGTATTAATCCTTTACTGAAGAGCTATCTAAAAATACAAACCGATCTCATTCCGTTAACACTGGACACATTTACAATAGAACCTTTGGATGCAATTAGCTGTGGAATGAGTTGTTGCGTCAAGTAAAACATTGAACGCAAATTGGTTGACATTATTCGGTCATACTGCTCCAATGTTGTGTTTTCAATCGTACCCTTGTCGATGATACCGGCATTGTTGACCTAGAATTAGTGTTGAAATCTATTCTATTTTAGTTAAAACGATGTTTTTTTATAAAAATAGAAACAAGTTGGAAAATCAGCAAAGTCACTGGAAAAATTTTTCGAAAAGAATAAGATAAAACCAGAAAAAAAACCAAAACTTCAAATTCCCCAAATTAATATTTCTCTTCAAATGCTGAAAATTAGAGATTTTAAGCAGGAAGTAAAACGTTAGTCTCTGTGATTAATTTTAAGTTATAAGTCGAATCTGAAATAACATTCCCTGTCTCGCACATCTCTAATGTAGCAGACAAAAAGGCCTCTCTCCACTCACCTGAAGTCTCAATTTGACGGTCTAATCAAGTGAAAAATGATTTCTTAATCAAGTGAGAAAACGACAAATGGAAAACGATTGTTGTTAAGGGAGAAGAAAACGGTATACCAACCATGATCCACAAATCCACTCATGTACTTTGTTTAGCATATGTTGTCTATCCTAAGAATATCATATCAACTTAATTATAATAGTTAATAGTTCTATCTGTAATAA